GCGGCTGGCAGAGTCCTTCCAGGATCTCACCAACACTCCAGCTCCGCTCTCCTGAGTCAAATCGGAGATTTCCCGAGATCTGAACGTGGGATCCCTCTCAATGAGGAGCTAATTACCTGTGCTGTAATTACGAGTCGCTAATCACCAGCACTATTAGCGGTACGATGACAGCGCTGCTGTCTCGTCTGTCCCCGCCTTTCCCCGCCAGTGGGAAGCGTTTCTGGAGGATTTTTCTGGCTGATTTCTGAGCAGCAAACCTGAATTGCAGAGGTTTGGTGTTATAGATGAGAGACAAAAGTCTCGATATTCAGCAAAATTTAGGTTGTTTTATTTGATATAGGCAGAGCAAGCAGCGCTGGGGAACGTGAGGGGTCACCGCCCACTCCACACTTCACTGAACTCTGGCCCATAGCCTCTATGGGTTTTGCTGTAATTAATAATTTTTGGGTTTTTAGCTGTCACAATGTTGACAGGTAAGCAGTGGTGGTCGAATAAACATCCTTATCCCAATTCACACAATCTCCAGCGATAATCAGTCACAGATAACCATCTGGTCATTGTAGATAACCACCAGCGAAATCCTGGAAGTCTGGTCCTTGGGATGGGCAGCATTGATCACACAAAGGCAGGAAGGGCTATCGGGAAGGCTGATTTTGGGCTATTGGGAAATCTGATTTTGGGCTAATGGGAAATCTGATTTTGGGCTATTGGGAAGTTCTGATTTTGGGCTACTGGGAAGTTCTGATTTTGGGCTATTGGGAAATCTGATTTTGGGCTATTGGGAAGGCTGATTTTGGGCTATTGGGAAAGCTGATTTTGGGCTAATGGGAAATCTGATTTTGGGCTATTGGGAAGTTCTGATTTTGGGCTATTGGGAAGGCTGATTTTGCAAGCTGGTAGTAGATGCAACTTATTTGGAAAACATAAGTGATTTTAAACAGAATGATTTTATCATATAATTTCCTTTATCTGGTGTCCATGCTTCACTTCAGAGCTGAGTATTCTGGTTTATACAAACCTCAATGCTTTTGTGATTAACAAGAATCTTTTATCAATTATCACAATTGGGGATGTGATCAGTCTTGCACAAGCTGCCCCGGGCATGTGCCATAAAACCCAAAGCAGGAGGAGCATTTAGGATGCTCCATCCCAGCTCTCTGCTGTCACACACAAAGTCAATCCCACTCCCAGAGGATGAAGCCTGTGGTTTGTTGATTTTGTTTTGCTCTTTGCTGTGACAGTATTTTTAATTTAGGGCTAGCGTGGATAAAGCACTTGTAAGAATTTCATTCGTTTATTATGTTAACTGACCCTGGTGGTTATTCAGGAGCTGCCTCTGTGTCTCGTGTGGCTCGGGGGGCTCTGGAATTGCCCTGGAGTGGCTGTTTCAGTGCATATTTCACACCGAGATTGATTTCACTCCTCCACCCACCAAGGTGGAAAGCAACAACCCATCCATTTCTTGGTGACATTAAGCACCAGCCACTCTCGAGGAGAAAAATGTGACACGTGGAGCCTGATTGGATGTGGTTTCCATGATGGATGCACTGCCTTGGAATCCTGTTTGTTCCTGCTGGCTCTGTGGAATCAGCTACAGAGAGGGCAGGGAAACCTTCCACTGTCCCAGGCTGCTCCAAACCCCATCCAGCCTGGCCTTGGACATTCCAGGGATCCAGGGGCAGCCACAGCTTCTCGGTGCTGAGACCTTTCCAGCCTCACAAAAAAACATCATTACACATTCCAGAACTGGCCAAAGGGTGGAAAATCAGCTCTGAAAAAAAATCCTGGAGGCAGAACTGGGCAGAAAGCAGCAAATTTCTGCTCAGGCTTTTCCTTTCTGGTGATTTGGGAGATTTTTGCAAGTCAATGGCATAAATGGGAATTATGCTGAATAAAAGAGGAAACCTATTTACTGCTCCCAACCCTTCCCATGGGGCTCTCTGTGTTTTCATTTGGAGCTGGCAGGGAAACTTCAGTTGAAATATTTTTAGATGAAATATGGCATTTTGATATAATTTCCCCCCATTTCTTTGAATGTGTTCTGAAATTTGTTGAAGAGCCCTCAAAGGGAAATTCTGGGAGTTTTCCAGTTGCAGCAAATGGGGAATAATTCAGTTCCTGAATGGTGATGGATGTAGTGCAAGAGACACACATTGTTTATTATTGCATTTCATATAGAAAACCTTCTTTTTAACAAGTCCCAGCTTCACTAAACCTCCTGAAATGAGAAAGAACAAGTGGAGCTCCTTTCACCAGGAAGATCCTAAATCAAGACCCACCAGTCCTGAACCTGATTGTGCAGCAGCTCTGGAGCATTCAGAAGGAATTTAATGGGCAGAGACCCAAGGAACTGCTTATCCTGGAGGTTACATCCCAACTTCTACAGCACTGCCTGGACAAGGACCTGGACAGGCTCGAGCAGTGGCCACAGGAACCTCAGGAGGTGTCACCAGTGCTGGAGCTGCCCTTGGGATCAGCCCAGGCTGGGATGAGCAGATGGAGCAGCCCTGGGACAGGGACCTGGGGGTGCTGTGGGGGAGAGCTGGACCTGTCCCAGCCCTGAACCCCCTGCCCTGGGCTGAGCCCAGCGTGGGCAGCAGGGGAGGGGGGATTCTGCCCCTCTGCCCCTGGGCTCAGGTGAGACCCCACCTGCAGAGCTGCCCCAGCCCTGGAACCAGCACAGGAAGGAGCTGGAGCTGCTGGAGAGATCCAGAGGAGGCACCAGGGGGATCAGAGGATGGAGCAGCTCTGGGATTGTTCACCTGGAGAGGAGAAGCTTTGGGGTGACCTCAGTATGGCCTTGCAGAGCCTGAAGGAGCTGCAGGAAAGATGGGGAGAGACAATTTACAGGGGTCTGGAGGGACAGGACACAGAGAATGGCTCCCACTGCCAGAGGGCAGGGCTGGATGGGATATTGGGCAGGAATTGTTCCCTGGCAGGGTGGGCAGGCCCTGGCACAGGGTGCCCAGAGCAGCTGTGGCTGCCCCTGGATCCCTGGCAGTGCCCAAGGCCAGGTTGGACATTGGGGCTCCCTGGGACAGTGGGAGGTGTCCCTGCCATGGCAGGGGTGGCACTGGATGAGCTTTGAGGTCCTTTCCAGCCCAAACCATTCTGGGATGCTGAGGTGGCCAAAGCTGCCAGTTCAGGGAGCAGGAGGGCACAGGTGGCTTTAACCTCACTGGTGCCTTGGGAGATCTGTGCTGGGCTGCACAGAAACTGCTGAAGGTTTGCAACTTCCAGCACTTTCTCCCTCATTTTCTTACACTTTCAAAGTACAGACCTTCCACTTGAGATTTTGGACTCTGATCCATGTGGGTCCTTTCTGTTTTCTAATTCTGCAATATAAAGTTGTGATAAAAGGGACAAGTCCTGGGTAACTTTTACTGTCCTCAGGCCAGACAGGACCTGGCAGAAGATGAAAAGCTGTGCAAGGAGAGCTCTCCCTTTGCTGCTCCTGAGGGGTGAGGGAGCAGTGCCATGGCTCATCTGCTCTCCTTCCTGCCCTCGAGGTTCCTCCAGGAAACTTCCCACTGCTGTTTTCTCCTCCTTTGGGAAATCTGTGCTGATGCAAGCCCACAATGCTACGCCTAAAAAATGAAGTGCACATTGTCACCTCGTGCAGTGTGATCTCATTCCTGCTCCAGACACGAATCCAGACTGAGGGAAGGTCCCTGGCCCCAGGCAGCAGGGGCTGAAGCAGGAATGAGAGCATGAAGAGGGAAGAGAGGTGACCCAGCTGACACGAGCAGGATGTTGGATCACCCTGGGGATGTGCTGAGTGCCAAGGAGGAGCTGTCAGCTCAGAACCAAATTTTGACTCCCTCTGTTCCAAGGATGGGTCAGGGGCTCTCCTGGCAGGGGAGACAGGAGAGGGGAGTCAGGAGCTCGGGATGTGCTGCCAAAATGAAGATTCCAGCTCAGCTCTCCCATCAGGGCTGGGTCCTCCCTCAGCCCCTTCTCTCTGGGTCACATTGCTGCCCAATGAAACAAAAGTGGCACTTTTGAAGGAGCAGCTGCAGATTGTGAATGCAAAGGTGCCCCTGGCACTTGGAGCTCCTTTTCCCTTGCTCTTCCACCCTTCTCCCAGCTCCTGCTCCTTGCTGGCTTTTGATGAGCTGATTAGGTGGGATTTTACTAAAAACCATTAGTTAGTTAATGAATTATCTGAAGGTGTGAAGATGTGTTGGGGGACTGATGCCTCATGATCCCACATTTATCCACACAAGGCTCTTGTGGGGACACTCCAGTGTGTGCTTAAAGCAGGGACTACAGGGGCTGCCTCAGAGCTCCATAAACGGCAGCTGGACACCCTCCTGTGCCCAGAAAATCAGAAATTTCCAGAGGTGCCAGCAATTACCTTGGGGAAAGCCCCAGTGTGAGTTGTCACGCTGGTGGCTGCACTTTTTTGTCACCTTCATTTCAAGCTAGACCAGCGGGATGTACTTGGACATGATTTCTGTGGTGGCTGGATGACCTTTCTGCCTACCCTGCTCTAGTGCTGATATCCAGATTCTTGCTTTCCCTGGGATTTTAGGAAATAGCAGGATCCTTTTTTACCCCCAGCCCAGGACATCTGGGCTATTTCACCTCAACCCATCCCCACTCAGTTCTCATTTGATTTGTGTAACAATCACCAAAAGCCTGGGAAAACTTGAAGGAAGGCTGACAGGGAAGAGCAGATCCCTTTAGGGAAGTGCTGATGTCTGTGACAGTCTTGGTTTCTAGAGGAGATTGTGCTGTGGAGAGAGCTGGAGGATGGTTTTTAACGTTGAGGATGATAATTTGTGTTTTCATGACTGGCTGTGGTGCGTGCACATGGAATTTTTCAGGTCTTTTTCAGGATGAGAGAGGCAGAGGAGCACTGAGGAATAATTTGTTGGACAATAATAAGTCCCTTGCTGTGGTTTCCACCCCCTCCTCCCATCCTGGACTCCTCGGGAAGGCTGAGGGAGGGCTGTGTGCCTGCCTGTGATGGGTTTTGCCTCTCTTCTCCCCCGCAGGGAATTTGCCAAGGAGCGGGAGCGGGTGGAGAACCGCCGGGCGTTCCTGAAGCTCCGCAGGCAGCAGCAAATCGAGAGGGAGCTCAACGGGTACCTGGAGTGGATCTTCAAAGCAGGTGAGGCAGGGGTCTCCTGGGCTTGCTTGGGTGTGTTCTGGGCCAAGTGAGGTGTGTGATGGGCTCCAGAATTAGTCCTTTATCAATGACTGAGAGAGAGACAAGGACTATTGCTTAATGATCAGAATCCGAATTTACTGTCAGCTACAGATGCTTATATACCATTTCCAGGAAGGCAGTAATTTTTTACTACATTCATTTAGTTAAACATCACACAGACAAACTTTACATTTCTGCTTAGTTAAATCTTCTTTCCTGTCAGCCAGACTTGATCCAATCTTCTTGTAATCTTCAAAGCTCTGTTTGCTCCTGCCAAGGCATCTTGGTTATCAAAGTGCATATGCTAATTAAATCCACAGTGCTGTCAGTCTCATTTACAGTTACCACAGTCTTTGGTGTGGCCAAGCCTGGGGAGGGCCCAGCCAGAACTCATTGGTTTTGTTGGAATTCACTTTGAGTGTTTGCACCAAAGTTATTGCAAAAAGATCTCGGTTTGGTTTGAGCAAAACTAAAGGAGCTGAGCCAACTTTATTGCTGAGATCAAAGCAATTGTCCTGCCACAGGATAATATAAAAAGTGATGGAGTGCCCAAAGCCTGCACAGAGGGGAACTGCTCCCTTCCATGAGTAATTGCTGTTTTCTTTACTCCCTGCCTGTACTGGTTTAAAAGGAAAACCAGTGAGAGACTCCAAGTCAGAAATGCAATTTAATAGGGGGAAAAAAATAAAATACATTCAATAGTAGAAAAGAAAAGCACTGCCAGAGTCAGAATACAACCTGACACCCTGCTAGTTAGGGTGGTGGGAGCAGTCCAGATGAAGTGTTCTTGTTGAAGTGGGGATCCTGCAGAAAGGTCTGGGAGCTCTTGGCCTCTGGGATCCAGTGGGAAAAGGCTGCTCTGCTGTTCCAAATCTCCCCTTTGATCTGGGTAGGAAATGCTCGGCTCCTGCCCTGGCTGGAGCATCTCCCAATGGGATGATGGAATTTGATCAGCCCTGCCCTGGGACTGCATGGCCATGAACAGGAGAGATCTCCTGGAGGGAGGATGGGCTGTGGGCAAGATAAAGAACACTGCAACAGCTGGGTGAACAGCTGGAACATGGACAGAGGAGATCTCCCCCAGAGATCAGGATCACTGCCATAGCTGCTTTAACAGATGGGGACAGAATCCAGACTTTTGGGCACATCTTTACAGTGTAACCCAGGACAATGCCCCGGGTGGTTTCTCAGCCTTTCTTTCTGTGCTGGTGCCATTTCTTATGAGCTGCAAAGATCACTTGCACGAAACTCCCCCCAGCCCATATTAACATTGCTTTATAACCACTGGAACTGAACATTGCTCTTTATTGCAAGACATGAGCAACTTTAACCAGGACCCAGACACATTAATTTAACAGAAAATAGAATTTTTATCAGACTGCAACGATTACCAATAACCTTCCTGCCTCATGGAGGAGCTGATATTTATATATTGACATAACCACAGTCAATTCTTTCATGCAGCACCAAGCAAACGAGGGGGTAATTTCCTCCTTGCTTGCTTTTCAATGTCTGAGCCAAGTGAAAAGGCCTTTTAAAACAATGATGGGGAGGAAAAGAAGTGCTGGTTTCTCAAATGGATTCCTGGGTGCCATTTTAGACAGATCAACTTCATCTTTGCTCTTTACAACTGAAATGTAAAATAGAAATATCAGCAGTTGATGTGGTGCTTTAAACCCATTATTTCCTATAGCACTACACAGGGTGACAGTTGAGGGCCACTTGTGCTGTCAGACTTTTATTCACTGTGACTGTTCAGCAGCAAATCAGGCAGCCACCCTTCATTCTGTGCTTCTGGAGTAATCAGAAAATAAAGAATTCCCTTTCCTTTCCATTTAGAATTTGTCTTCTCATTAGTTTACAGCTTTTGTGCAGCTTCAAACTCAGATTAATTCCTGGCTTGCCCAGTGGCTGCAGCAGGGCTCTCTGGGCTTCTCCCTTCCTCATCCTGACTTGCTTTTAAGGTGATTTTTGGTCTCTAACTCCTGATCTCCATCAATAAAACAGAGCTGAGAATTCCCCTGCAGGGTTGAGGGCGCCTTTGTGTCACTCTGGGGCCTGCTCTGCCCATCACCAGCTGAACTTGTGAGCAACTCGGGATGGGGAAATTATAAAATGTACAGTCAACCTCTGCTCCAATTCCCATCCCTGTGGGAATTCCTGGCTCTTCCATTTCTTTGTTGCTAGGGCTGAATAAATGCCACACCAATCTCGAGTGAAACTGCTGGAAAATGCACATTTTTTAGCCTGATAACACACGATCCAGAAGGTTTTGTGGAACAAGGAAGTGCATGCAAAAGAGCTGAATCAGGGAATGTTAAAAATACCCTGGAAAGGCATTGTTGAGGATACAATAGGAATATAAAAGAGCCTCCTAGTACAGCTGAATAATAACAGTAATTAAAATCAGCTTAGCTGTGTTAATAAAATCTTTGAATAAAAATGCAGTGTGAAGGCAAAGCAGAGCAGAGAATCCAGGCTTTAGGAGTGAGGCACTGAAAATTGGGACTGTGCCGTCGCCAGGGATTTCCCGGGTCTGTTTTGGGGATTTCAGCTCAGAAATGAACTGGAATTCCCTGTGCAGGATCCAGAGGGCACACAGAGCCAGGGAGGACACACAGACGTGGACAGAAATCCCCTGCAGCAGCCCCAGGCAGGAGCTGTTTGCATAAAGGCAAGAGCAGAAACTCCTGGGATTCTGCTCTAATGGAACTCTGGAGGATTTGGTCGTTATTCCTGGGACTATCGAATTGTTTTTAAATCCTTCTGCCAGCCTTGACCTCGTTGACTGCTGGAGCAAAGAGTGCCACATGTTAACACTCAGTTTGATTTTAAAAACTAAACCGACCCCACCCAGCTGTGTCCTGCCCTCACTTGAAATCCCTTGCCTTGGTGCAGCAAGAGGAAAAATTCAGTTCTTTTAATTACTTTTTTGCTCTAATCTCCCTCTACCTTTTTTTCATCTTATTTTTTTTCTGCTCTATAGCACCCAGAACCAATCATCCCAATCCCCTCTCTTCCTCTGGAAGCCTCACCAGGTTTCCAATATTTCTAATATCCTCCCTGAGCCTTTGGACTGTTTGGTTTTTTCCTCCTCATTTATTTTTGATGCAAAGCAGGAAGAGTGGAAAGCTGCATTCCAGTGCTTCATAAAATGATGTTTTAATCCCTAGATGGTTTTTGCTCTGTAATTTTTTACATATTCTGTGTAGCTGCTGGAGCTGGACAGGAGGTGCCCTTGTCCTTTGTAGTGCTCAGGTTTTTATCTCAAGGGTTGTTTTAGCACCAAGGGAAGTGTGAGTGACTAAAATCACTCCTTTATGTGTGCCCAACCTCCCCTCAGTCAACAATAATTTTAATTAAACACAATGGGTATTGCTCATTGACTGCTCTGAAATGTCTTTAATGTTTCCCATGAATGTCTGTAATTTGAATTATCTCAGATTCTCAGACTGCTTTGGTGTGGAAGCCTCATCCAGGGATCCAGGGGCAGCCACAGCTGCTCTGGGCACCCTGTGCCAGCCCTGCCCACCCTGCCAGGGAACAATTCCTGCCCAATATCCCATCCAGCCCTGTCCTCCTTCAGTTTGAAGGCAGTTGTGCTTTCCAGAGGAATTAAAAAGTGGGGAAGCCAAGCAATGCATGCAATCCATGCACATGATTTTGCCCCTGCTGCTTTCTCCACTAAACTCTGCAGAGCTGCAGGAACTCCAAGGCTGGAATTTTTGGACAACAGGGAACTAGAAGTTCTCCACACAGAGTAAAGAGTTTGTAAACCCACAAATATTCTTTTGAAGAGGTTTCTCTTATCTTACAAGGACGTGAAGCATTTGGAAAACACTTTGCTCAGAGACTCAAAGTCTTCCTATTCAGGGCTAATCAAGTTTCACATCTTTTGCATTTTAATTCTTTCCAAATCCACCTTTTCCACACAAAACTGGACTGCTGCTGTTCTCCTGGAGTTCCAGGCTTTGGGAATGGTTTCACCTCTCTCTCCCAGCCCTCTGTAACTTCAAGGCCATCTCTTGGCACGACAGAGCTTTCTGAACTTCAGGTTTCAGCTTTTTTAGAGGAACAGAGCCCTGAGCCCCTGGGTAGGGATGGGAACAGACGCCTCCAGCAATGAGCCCCGTGTGAGATGTCACAGCAGGGGAATTGCCACGGAGACAAAGCAGAGCTCCCTGGGACAGTGTGACAGCCACTTCTGAGGGCTGCATTTTTATCAATTTTTTCTATTTACCCACCCAGAAATTAAATTAATTTCGTTTTTGTTTTTCCTCACCTCTGTTGAGTGTGAGTTATTTCCAGTAATCTGCTGCTCCTTTGAGCCCCCAGTGTCCTCCCTCCCCACACCAAAGAGAAGGGGCACCACTTTCTCAGCTGCTTTGCATTTATTTCCAGCCCAGTCACACCCAGCACTTAATGATCAAAAGTTCCTCTTGCTGCTGAGGCACCCCTGGCTCTGATACCCTGGCAAAGCCCTTGAGCCTTTATTTGGAGGTTCAGAATTGCTAATCTGGCCCCATCTCTCTGCTGAACATTTCTCCTAATGCAGAGGCACCGTTTTTGGGGTTTTTTTCAGGTGCCCAATTATCCCCTTCCAGGCTCTATTAGTGATGACTAAAGGCAAAGCAGCTCCCGAGCCTCTGTTCAGGATGGTTAAAAACCCCTCCTAGCAGTGCTCAGTGCCCTGCTGAGCTCTCTTTTTAGCCTTAAAAACCTCCTGTGGTCCTTTGGATTCCCAGAGGACACGAGGCAGACAGGAATAGTTACCAAGGGAGAGAACCTGGAACACTGCAGGAGGAGAGCGAGGCTCGAGGGAATTTCAGAGGTGAAATAGGGTTGGGTTATTTTAAATGAGCAGCAAAACTGAGCCCAGCTGTGTTTATGGATAGAGATTTGTTTGAGCACCAATTCAGGACCCTGAATTTGGGGCAAAGGTTTGGAGGATTGTCTTGTAAGAGTAATTTCTAGGTGAGACTCGAGTAGAGCAGCAGCCTTTGGGAAGGGTGTCCCTGCCTAACCCATCCCTTCCTTGTGTTTCAGGGCACTCCGACTGGGAATTGCCCTTTCATTCCTCCCATATTTTAGCCCCTGAACATCAGTACAGCTTTCCCTGGGGAGGACTTCAGAAGAACCTTTTGGTCTGAGGTGCTGGTTGGTCAGAGAAGTCTCTTGACCTGTCTGAAAAAGCCCATTTCACTCTTCTGACCTGTCTTAAGAAGACTTGAAAACCACCTGCATTGTAGGTGGGAATTGCAGGCACACCTTGGGGGTTTTTGGAAGGATTTAATACCTTTTAAAGTGCAGCTTTGAGCTCCTCTGACTTTTTAACCCTCTCAGCTCTCCTTTCTTTCACATCTCTGCTGCATTACTTTGCACTTTTGCATTTCCTTCCTGTCTGCTTGGGTTTTCAGCCTTCCTCAGTCCTTGGTATTACTTTTCAGTCTTCTCAATTTGCTGTCTTATTAAAGTATCATTCCCCCTCTCTCCCAGATGATTAATAAAGAGATTATATAAGGCTTGTGTGGCTTATATAGGCTTATATAAGGCTGATCCCTCTGGGATCCTTCTAGACAGCTCTCAGCTACACACTTTGATGTTTGGCCTCTGGTTTGTTTGTATTTATTTTTCTGAAGTCACTCTTCCATCTAGACTGGCTTTAACGGACTTTAAAGCAAAATTTGGTGGGAGCACGGTGTCAGATGTTTTAGTAAGAGCCCAAATCACATCGGTGGAATTACAGGCATGTGAATTTGCCATTTATAAGAACAGAAGGAAGTGTGGAGTTTACCAGCTGCCAACTCAATGTTTTGTTTGCTTTGGGCTGTCCTTTAGCAGATCCCCACATCAGCTTCCAGCTGCAAACTAAAAATCTGTGGTTCTGACTGCAGTCTCAAGTATTGACACAGCACTGCAAACTGGCCAGGGAGGTGGCAGTGCCCTGGAAACCTCAGGAAATTGGGTTGTCTTCCACACAGATAAAAATTATTCTGTTTTAAGAGGTTGGTTTTTAGTGTCTCCTGACTTTTTTTTAAAATTTAGGCAAGTGCAAGGTTGTATTTTGGAGATGAGTTACAGAGTGGTGTTGCAATCACTGTGCCAGGCAGAACTCCCCCATGGAAAACTTGGATTTTATTTGGACTAAGGTTTGATGTGATGGCTCTGTGGTGACAGCAAGACTCCTGTCCTGCTGCTCTCACCCTGTGCCACCACTCTGCTCCCCATGGCTGAATCCTGATTTTTTGGAGACGAAAGAGCAGTGATGGGTGTGGAGCACCTTTCCCAAGCTGTCTCCAGTCAGGATGGCCATGAGGGACCTTCCTGGGGACCTGTGGGGACCTGTGGGGACCTGTGCTCCTGCCTGGTCTGGAGGAAGCTCCTTGGTGTGCAGAGGTGCCCTGGGGATGGGAGCTGGGGAAGAACCCGCAGAGGGAGGCTGTGAGGAGGGATGGATCTACGGGGGAAGTGCTTTGTTTGGAATCTTCTCCCTGTGCCAGTGGGACACGGGCTGAGAAACACAACCCTGAGGCACCAACTCCTGCGCAGGCTGTGCCAGGGGTGGGTGGGTGGCACCGGGATGGGTGGGTGGCACCTGCTACCCCTCCGGCCGGGGTCGGGGCAGGGCAGGGAGGATCCTGAGCTGACCCTGCCCGTTTTCCTATTCCAGAGGAGGTCATGCTGGCCGAGGAGGACAAGAACGCGGAGGAGAAGTCCCCTCTGGACGGTAGGTGGCTTTGCTGGACATTTTCCTCCTGTGCCACGGGAGAGGTTCCACTGCTGTCACTGCCACGCCTTCCTCCCGAGCAGGGGGATCCTCCCGCATGCACCCGGCACAAATCCGGCCACTGAGCCCCTTCTCCCGGGGCTCCTCCAGGCTGCAGGTGGCTGAGGAGCGGTTATGGGACACCCCACACCGGCCCGGGATGGGGATGTGCCCTCGGGGTCGGTGCCCACGCCCTGCCGAGGGTGGCTGGCTGTGTGTGCAGGGGGGAGAGGCTGCACAAGGATGGAGAAGAGCGAATGCGCTGACCGAGAGAAGGCAGGGCTCCGGACGGATTTGACCAAGGGACTGAGCCCCCTGTTAGCTGTAAGCAGTAAGACATAACAGGGTGTGGTGATCCTTCCTTCCGACGTGCGAGCCCAGCGTGGCAGGACGGCCGGAGGAGCCGAGCAGCGAGGCCACGGGGATGCTCCCCCTGTGCCTCCAGCCCCGACAGCTCTTAGGATGCGCCAGCCACTCAAAGCTCAGTTAAAGACTCTTCCCTCTCCCTTTTCTGACCATCTTTCGTCCTCCCATGTCTCCTCCTTTCCCCTCCCCTCCCTCCCCCCCCTCTTTTTTTTTCTCCTCCCATTCACTGTCAGGGAGGGCCGCCTCGGAAGGGCCGATTCCTCAAGGCACGGCGCCGGCAGAGACTGGCAGCGGCAGCAGCTACAACAGTGAGTGGATTGCAAATCACCAGGGTGGCACACAGGGGCAGCTTCCCCCCACGGCCGCCGTGCCCAGCTCACCGGTGCCAGTCCCCAGGCGCTGTTCGCCCGGCTCCGAGCCCTGCGGCTCCCGGAGCATCCCCGGCTGCTGGTCCAGCCCGGGCCAGCCCGGTGAGCTGCGCCGGGCAGGATTTGGGGCTGGAAGAGCTGGGGCTGCAGCAGGTCAGGGCTGAGGTGTGCGTGGCCAGTCCTCGTGTGAGTGCGGGGGTGTGTGCGAGCTGGGGAAGCCTGTCCGGCTCTGGGTGCAGCCAGGGCTGCAGCTTCAGCCGGACTCGGTGTCTGCAGGAGCAGTCTGAGAGGCTGAGTGCTGTGAGAAACTCCAGGCGGGCTCGAGGCACGGCGTAAAGATACCCAGAGATGCTCAGGCTCCTCTTATCCTAAAGCCAAAGGAGCTCGAGAATGTTCCCAGCCCACGTCTGTGGTGGTAAATTCTGAGTCCCCAAAACAGAGAGACGTGGCATCCAGAGTGCCTGGAGAGATGGCACAGCCTCGCTGCCAAACACACGGAGGAGTTCTCTGGGGGAGAAGATAAAGAGCTGCTCAATTCATGCCAGGGAGTGCTGGGAAATTTGAATCCCAGTTGCTGAGGATGGCCCTGGCCATGCTGGAGTGAACTGGGACAGACTCAGCCGGAGGGACCCCGAAGCTGCTTTTGCTGGGACTGAGGATTCAGCCTAGAGCTGGGTGGGGCAGCGAGGAGCGCAAAGCGTTATTTGCAAAACGATGGATGGAGATCGCAGGTTCAGAGCATCCTCTCCGAGCCTCTCGGAACCTGGGTGAGCTCTGGGTGTTCCCTGGAAGTGACTCAAGCACAGCCCTTAGGAGGAGGAAGCGCATCCGTGTGTCTGTCAGGGCAGGGCAGGGCAGGGCAGGGCAGTCCGTGTAGGGTGAGGGGATGTTGTGGAGGAGCCTCCCCGGGGCAGTCTCTGCAGCGTGAGTGGCTTTGCTGTGTGTGCCCACGGACCAGTCTGTATCACCACACCGTGGGGTGTCTTACTGCTGATAGAAAGTGCTGCTTAGTTACTGTCTGTCTCGAAGCTGTCACCAAACTGTACCAACGTGATTTTTTTTTTTCTGCCACTTCTCAAGGTTCTGCAGGTAGGTGGTCCTGGGAGCAGCGTCCTCAGTGCTCCTGCCTCACCCCCCCGTGCTCTGGGTGGACAGTGCAGAGCTCTCATTCCCTCTTGGAGTAAATGTAGTGGTGTTTGCCCTCCCCACTAAAAGCTTCTTTTGGAGGAAAAAAAAAAAAGAAAAAAGGTGTTTTCAAAGAATTCCGCCATCCCCAGAGGGCAGGGGTTGCACACCGGGTGCTGCTGAGAGGCTGCTCACTGATGTGTGGCCGCTTTTTCCACGCAGCATTTCTGCTCCTTGAGGCATGGCTGGGTGGTCAGCTGAGCTCTGTAAATGCCGAACTCCCCCACGGTGCCCTCTGCAAACAGCACTGATGGTTCCAGGGGCGGCAGCACTCCTCTCCCAGCCCCGTGGGGCTCAGGAAGCTCCAGCATCCCTGCCCAGCCTTTGTGCTGTGCTGAAAGGCCCAGCAGCTGCAGCCACCCCCCCACCCTCCTGCATCTGCTGCATGCACTGAGACGTGCAGAGCTGTGCCTGCCAAACCTTCAGGAGCTGGAAGGGCAAAGAAGTGAAGCACCCTGGCACTGAGGTGTGCAGAGGCCCTGCAGGTTGTGGGTTGTCCGGTTTGCTCCAGGGTACCCTGGTGGGAGAGCTTTAAGCTGGCATTGGGAAGGAAATGCTGGCCCCGGAGAGTGAAGGGAGGGGGAGAGAGAATCCGCTCTGCATCCTCATGGGGCATTTTCTCTTTAATTTGCACGCAGTGTTGAAAAGAGCCGCAATAAAGAAGAGCAAAAATGACCTGATTCATGCAGAAGAAGGTGAGGACCATTTCACAGACATTTGCTCCGTTGGTGAGTACTGGCTTCGCATCCCCCGAGGTTTCGACTCCACCCGATCCTGTCCATGTCATGTTTCCTCCTCTGGAGCGGCTCCTTTGCTCCAGAAGCTGCAGTTTCCTGAAGGAGAATGAATTTCCACTGCTGCTGCAGCAGCACTCGACTTCCCAAAGCAAAAAGCTCCGTGGCTTCACCCTCTCCCTGCGCTGCCTGGCTCAGCTCCTGCATGCTGCACCCTCGAGAGAGCCCTGCAAAGCTGGGACAATCCCTGCTGGGAATTCTGGGATTCTGCTTGGAACCTGCTCATTCATGCTAACGAACCCCAAATCTGCCAGACAACACTGTTGGAGGGAGGAGAGGAAGTGGCCACAGTCCCACTGTCCACTGATGCCCGGCTGAGGTGTCACAGCCTTTGCTGCTGTGGGAATGGTCACTGGGCAGTGGCCTCAATTCTCTCATTCTTGTCTTAGAAGAAGATCTTGAAGCAATTTTAAAGCCGGATCTGGAGATCCGGTGCAGAGCAGGGAATCCTGCACTGTGGGGCATTGCTGGGGTGGATTTGAGATGCTCAGGCTGAGGAGGTGCTGCCCGTTCTGCAGCTCCCAGAGCTGATTCCCTGCTGAGATCTGCCCAGTGGGGACGCAGAGGCAGCTCTGGGCTGCCAGGGGAGCCTCTGGGCACCCAGCACCCACCTCAGGGAGCTGCTGGAGCCAAAAGCCTCTCAGCCGTGGGAGAGGCATCTCCTGCTGCTCTGCAGTCGGGTGCTTTGCTCATCCCCGTGCCTGTTGTTGGAGTGTGTTTTGCTGCTGAAGCAGCAGATGTTCTCATTATCTTCCAAAGAAATGTCTTGGCAGCCCAGTCCCCACGAAGCAGCAAATCCTGGATGCACAGGAGGAGCAGCACAAACAGCACATTTGAGAACCCGTGTCCGTGGCTGCTTGCAAAGCATGAGTGCCTCAACTGCCCTTTGGAAAGTTGGCATTGGTGATTTCAGGGATCACAGCTGCTGCTGGAATTTTTTATCCCCCTTTAAAGGAAGACCTGGTTGCAGAAAATGAGCGTGGCTTGGCATGTTCCTGACACCAGCACTGAGCTGCCACAGTCCCCTGGGCTGCAGGGTTTGTGGTGAAACTGCTGCCACTCCCAGGAGAGGTTTGGTGCTGATAAAGAGCAAAAATGCAGCAGCCTGTGTGCATTTTTGGGTTGGTTTGTTGTTGTTTTTTTCTCGGATCCCTGCATGGATAACAAGGAATGGTCACTTTTGGAATATTTGCTCACGGTTGCAATAATTACGAGATCTTTGCCTCCAAGTCCCTCCAGGCTCTGGGCAGCCAGTGCCACTCCAACAGATCTTGGAGTTCAGCATTTCAGGTGGCAACGGATGACAGAGCATCGGGAATAATCCGAGGCAGAGCTGGGAACTGTCTCGGGAGCATATGGCAGGGAAAATAACAGCAGTGCTTTCCACCTCCTGTGAGTGCTGCACCCACTTGGGAAAAGTGGTTTTGATTTTGATTCATGGAACGAGGCAGAAAGGAAGGACTGGATTAAGCAGCTACTTCTGCAGGCTTGTGAAGAGGCTGAAATGCAGAGCATAAACAATCAGATCACGTGGGCAATTATGCATAAGGGATCTGTTTTGGAGAAAAGGGGTTTTTGGATGGTTTTCTCTAATGTGTTCAGATGGGAACAGAAGGAGCGTGGAAGAACTAGCAAATAATCCCTGAGTGCCACGTGAAGATGCAGCTCAGGGTGGGGGAGACTTTGCCAGGTCTCTCTCTGGCCATTGGCTGGAAATGTTGCACTTTAATTCAAGTACAAGCACCTTGATGAGCTTTATAACTGCAGTATAAATCTCTGTAGTGGTAAACACTTCCCAGGCTCTTCTCTGCAGTTGTTCTTAGCCTTTATTCTTTTCTTTCCACTCCCACTGGCTTCACACCCTCTGTGCTGTACCAGGCACAGGGTGCTGCCTTGATTCCCAGACACCAAAGCCCAGAGAAGATGTTTCCCATGTTAGAGCAGTTTAAATATCACTGCTTTGCCTTTCTGGAAGATCAGCAGAGAGGAATGAGGGCAGCACTGTTCCTTTTCCAGGCTGGGAGCACAGAGGGGCTTGGATATCTGAGAACTCTGTGGCTGCCAAGGAGTGCTGTGATATGAAACAGCCTAAATCCCAACCTGTGGCTTTTCTTGTTGTCTTAAAGCAGAGGAGAAGCACTGTGATTTCTTCTCTTCCAAACTGCCAAAGGCAGGATTTTCAAACCAACAGAAGAACAAACTGATTTTTTCAGCGAGGAGTTTGTTCAAAGCCTGGCCAAGCCAGCTCTGCTTTTGGAGGTGCTGGTGGATGGCCAGAAATGTGAAATGGAGCAGAGAGCTCACTTTCCATGGGGGAACATCGCACTTGTGTGGGGCTGTGAGGCTTGGAGAGCCCGCTGCTGCCACATCTGCATGCCTCATCCTTTCTCTGGCTGCTGTGGTTGATGTTGCAGGATGAGGCTGGGTGAGATTCCCACCCTTCCCAAGTGCTGACATGGAGGTGATCACACTCCGAGGTTTTGGCTGCTGAAGGCAGAACTCTTTGTTCATGTCACTGAGCCCAGGAGAGTCACCTGCTGCAGGACAGGACGAGGACATGTCCTGCTCATCCTGCTGAGTGCTCCACCCCAGCATGGGGAAGGGCAGTAATGATCTCTTGTCACAAACCAGTGGCACAGGCAGTGGCCAGCCTGGCACAGTCACCATTTCCCCTGCTTGCAGCAGCTTCTGTGGATGCTGCAGAGGAGCCCCAAGGGGTCCATGTGTTTATTCCCTTTTTCCTGATTTCTCCTGCCTCAGCACTGGCTGGAGATTGCCTTTTCATCTGAGCAGTGCCTCTACCCCGTGGGGAGAGCTGACATCAGGAATCATTTCTTCCATCAGCTTCCTATTGTTGAAACACTTGACTCTTTGCCAGGGTTTCGGCCTGGAGTGGAAATGGAGCTGATAGAGGCAGAATTGAGACAAATGAGTGGCTGTGCCCAAAATCTGGTGCATGGAGGCAGACTGAGCGCTCTGCTGAGGAAATACCTGAGGCTGGAGAGTAAAATAAGGAGAATTCACTCCATTCCAGAGTAACTGGTCCTCGAAGCAGGGAAAATAGGGACCAGCTTTCCTGTTGCACCTACCCAGCTCCACGAGGACGTGCTGCACACCGAGGGCAGAAATACCCTGTGCCCACTGCCCTCTGTCCCTGCCAGCCAGGAAAAAGTGCTGAGTGAAACTGTGACAGTCAGAATTGCTTTGGAAGCCCGGTTTAGATGGTGGAGCTGGGCATTGATCCATGGAGTTGAAAACCCATGAGCCTTCATCCCTCATTACAAGCGAGCCGCCCTTGCTCAGCCCATTCTCAACATTCCCGGCTTCCTGCTGAGCTGTCGCTGGTGCTTGGAGAGGCTCTGTGTGCCCAGGAACCCCCTGCAGCCTTTTCCCTGCCGGGATGGGCTGTGGTGACTCTTCTTTCTGTCCCAGGGTCTCCCTTTGCCCGTGCCAGTTTGAAGAGTGGCAAGAACGAGAGCTCGTCCTACTTCAGGAGGAAAGAGAAGATGTTCCGCTTCTTCATCCGCCGCATGGTGAAGGCTCAGAGCTTCTACTGGGTGGTGCTCTGCGTGGTGGCCCTCAACACCCTGTGTGTGGCCATGGTGCACTATGACCAGCCTGAGAAGCTGACCACTGCTCTCTGTGAGTACTGGCCACTGCTGTTCCCTTCACAGCTCTGGTGTTTCTGACCCTGCAGTGCCGTGGTCCTGGCTCACAGCTTCCCTCCCAGCTTGCTTCTCCTGCCTCACCGGCCCTGCAATCCCAGAATCACAGGTTTGGGTGGGAAGGGAGCTTAAAGCTCAGCTTATTCTTCCCACTGTGCAGGGATACCTCCCACTAGACCCTGTCCAGCCTGGCCTTGGACACTGCCAGAGATCCAGGGACAGCCACAGCTCCTCTGGGAATTCCATCCAATCCCTCCCCGTCCTCACAGGGAACAATTCTTTCCCAATATCCCATCTATCCCTGCCTCTGGCAGTGGGAGGCCATTCCCCTTGTCCTGGCACTCCAGGCCCTTGTAAATTGTCTCTCTTTATCTTTCCTGTCAGCCCCTTCAGGTCCTGGAAGGCCACGTTTAGGTCATCTCAAAGCTCCCCTTCTCCAGACTGAACAATTCCAATTCTCTTTCAAATCTTATTTCAAATTATCCAATCATACAATTCAGAAATAATCAACCAGGCTATTAGTTTGAGAGAGGAATGTTATCCTAAAGGTTATTGCAAAGCTGAGATTCATTCAGGTGTAAAGCCTGGAGCAGGGCAGGAGGAATTGTCCTGGAATGGGGCAGGAGAAGGAATTGTCCTGGGATGGGGCAGGAGGAGGAATTGTCCTGGGATGGGGCAGGAGGAGGAATTGTCCTGGAGCAGGGCTGGAGGAATTGTCCTGGGATGGGGCAGGAGGAGGAATTGTCCTGGAATGAGGCTGGAGGAATTGTCCTGGAGCGGGGCAGGAGGAATTGTCCTGGAGCAGGATGCACAAAAGGAAGGGCAGTGATGCCTGGGAAAAGCAGGATTGTCTGGCTAACCTGCAGAGAACTGCAAATCTGTGTCCCTTCTGCAGCTGATCTGCACCCATGGGTGATTCCTGCTGGGGACACACTCAGAGCTCTGCCAGCTCTGATATTCCCAGGACAGAGCAGGTGGAATGGCCTGTGAGATAAAAATCCTGCCAGTGCAATCAGGCACTGTCCCACACACGTGCTGTGATTCCTTTCAAAGGTTGCAACTTCACAGCTCCTTTTCCTCCCTGATTGGGGTGTGGTGACATGGGATGGGTGCCACGGTGCCCTCCTGTGACATTAAGTGACAGAAATAATCCTAGAGGGATGATTATCCTCTATTTTATCCTAGATTTTATTTTAGCTGCTTCCTGTGGTCGCCTGGTTTAGCTCAGAGTCTAGAAGTGCTTGTGAAATATGAGTTTTGGGTTTTTAAATTGCTCTGATGAATGGTGTTTCCCTGAGGTCACATACTCACTCACAAAGCTTGGTTCTAAAAAAATGTGGAAGGTGAGGGATGGAGCTTTTTTGTTTATTTTAATGAAGTTTGGAGGTTGGGTCTCCTAGAGCTGGAAAACTCCTAGAAATTCCTGCTGCTGATAGTGCACATTTTTCCTTCTGAAGGGATGGGATGGGGTTTGTTCCTGGAAGGCAAAGCCATTCCTTTGGCCATTTCTGACCCTATAAAATGGTCAGGAACAAATCTGCTGATCAGCACTTGACCAGCTGAAAATTTAAGTAAAACTTCTGAAAAAGCAAACAGAAGGCTGGGAAAAAATCTCAAATACTTCCAACAGTCTGAACAATATTGGCTTAGATCTTTAAAGATCCTTGTCTACCTAATTTGCCTTGATTTCTCTATAAATTAGATACTTAAATATTTCTTGCCTCAGATCCTCAGGTCTTACCTTATTACAAGGAAGGCAAACTTTTGAAGTTTTTTTTTTATTAGACCTAAGAGGTCAGGAATACTGACTGCTCTGACATCAAAAGCTCCATATTAATATTTGTTGAAATATTTAATGCCACCAGGTAATGGAGCTCTAATGAGACATGGATAATAAGGACAGAAATTTCTTTCAAGTTTCTTTTCTTTGGCAAGATTTCAACTGAAAAGGGAGACAGGCCATACAGAGAAGTCACTCTTGCTTATTCATTACCTCAATTTACCAGAGAAAATAATAAGCTAGATTGGCAAGGTAATTAAAAGTTTGAGGATTAGGATTTCCTCTGGAATTAGGCCTAAATGTTTAGGAAACAAACCCCATACTTGAAATCTTTCAACTCAAAAAAATGTTTCAGATTTACAAGACTCAGTTTAGGGAGCACCTTATGCAGTGACTTTTCCAAGGGAAGAAATCCAGAAACTCCTTCGTGTTCCAGTGAGGGCTGGAAGGGCTGGTTCTGTCTCTTGGAATTAAAAATTCACCTCCAGCTGGGAAACTTAGTTGAGACAGAGGCCACAAATTAGATTTCCAATCTATGGAAGTCTTTGAAGACAAAAAATAGGGAATATGTTGGAATTAGGGATGGATCCATTTTTCAGGAACTCTGCATTTGTCCATAATGTCAGTTAGTGTCAGAAGCACTTGGGCTGCAAGTTTGAATTTCTTGGTGTAGAAAGAAATCCCAGATCCTCACTGAGCTGGGACTGGAGGATCCCACTGCCTTACATTTAATGGAAGAGGCAAAAAAGCATCAAAAATTGGGATTTCTTGGGGATTAAATTCTCAGCATCCTCCCAGCCTTTGCACCATCACACTGCCCTTTGTCAATAGGGAAACACCCGGACAGGGGCTCCACAAATCATCCCCTGAAAGAGATCCCAGAATGGGGCAGGGAAGAGACCTGAGAGGGTCACCTGGAGCCACCTCCCTGCTCCATCCCAAGGCACAGGATTGTGCCCAGATGTGTCTGGAATATCCCCTGGGAGGAGACTCCACGCCCTCCTGAGCTACTTGTTCACCTCACAGGGAAGAAATTCCTGGGCTCAGCTCCTGCCTGCTCTGCTTGTCCCATTGCTGGGCCCTGCTCTGAGCCTCCCTTGCAGATATTTGGATAAGATTCCCCTCAATCAGCTCCTTCTGAGGCTGAACAGCCCCAGCTCTCTCAGCCTTGTCCTCATGAGAGATGCTCCGGTCCCCTCAGCATCTTTGTCACCCTTCATCCAGGAGCTCCGTGCATTTCTGGGGTATTAAACCCTGCTGGCATTGGGGAGGGGCAGCCCAGTGTGGGCCACAGAAAAAAAAACAGGTTATCCAGAAATAGGGAAAGGTTTTGTGGGTGATCACGTTGGGATTTTAGACAGGGTGGTACAAGATTGGTCATTGTGACAATGAGAATAAAAATCAGAGATCCCAGCCTGGTTTGGGTTGGAAGGGACCTTAAATCCCATCTTGTCCCACCCCTGCCATGGCAGGGACCCCTCCCACTGTCCCAGG